TATGTGACCCTCCCTCACAGACTCACCCTTCTCATTCCATGGCTCTGTCACAGGCTGTTTGCTGATGTTACTTCAGCATAGTAACTGTATTGTCTCTCTCTCTCTCCCACTCACCCTTTTTCTCTCCCTCCCCTGTCTCCCCCATCCACTCCCTCTCTCCTTGCCCCCCCCCACCGCCCCGGTTCTCTCCGTGCAGTGCTGAGTAAGGGGCAGGTTATTTCGGCTCAGTACCGGTTTCTGGCCTGTGGTGGGGGTTACGTTTGGCTGCAGACACAGGCCAGCACCATCTACAGCAGGAACAACCAACCTCAGTGTATCATCTGCATCAACTCCGTGCTCAGGCGAGTAATTAACCACCTACCCTTAGGTGACAGCGCGTCCCCTCGAACAAGTGTCCTTGGCCAATGTGAGGACAGATTGAAATGGCCCAGAAAGCTTCAGCGTAAAATTTCTCCTCCTAATGTTCTCCCCCTCCCTGGTCTTACCCCTTCCCACCCTCTTTCTCTCTCTCTAAAACCCCCTCCGTGCCCACAACCCTCCGAGATCTCTGCTCCCCTCTCCTTCGCGACTTGCTACCACATTGTGTTGGTCACACTCCTGCTGAGTCCAGGGCGCTATGTAAACGCAAGTCCTTCTTGTTGTGGGAGGGGAAGCTGATAAAAGTCACTCCCCGTAAACTCTCTGGAACTGCTCTCAGTCCTCACCCCCTGGGAATTGCAAACTCGTTTCCAGCGATGGGTACCAATCCTGCCCCCCCACCCCCATCACTCCTGAGACCCTCCTCCAAGACGGTCAGGCACACACACCTCGCCCCCTCCCCAACACACAGCTCCCTGGGAACTCAGTCCGTTAAAGGACTAATTTCCTGTTACATTTTGGAAATGAAGAAGGGGAATGATTATGGACTGGAAGTTCAACAAAACCAGAGAGAAGTCAATTCAGGAACTGAATTGAAGAGACTGAATTGAGCTCAATGTGTCACTGAGTCATAGAGCTGTACGACACAGAAACAGACCCTTCAATCCAACTCGTTCATATTGACCAGATATCCTAAATTAATCTAGTCCCCATTTGCCAGCATTTGGCCCATTTCCCTCTAAACCCTTCCTATTCATGCACCCACCCAGATGCCTTTTAAATGTTGTAATTGTACCAGCCTCCACCACTTCCTCTGGCAGCTCATTCCAAACACGCACCACCCTCTGTGTGAAAAAGTTGCCCCTTCGGTCGCTTTTAAATTTTTCCCCTCTCACCTTAAACCCATGCCCCTCTAGTTTTGGACTCCCCTTCCCTGGGGAAAAGATCTTGACTATTCACCCTCTCCATGCCCCTCATGATTTTATAAACCTCTATAAGGTCACCCCTCAGCCTCCGACGCTCCAGGGAAAATAGTCCCAGCCTATTCTGCCTCTCCCTGTAGCTCAAACCCTCCAACCCCGGTAACATCCTTGTAAATCTTTCCTGAACCCGTTCAAGTTGCACAACATCCTTCCTAGAGCAGGGAGACCAGAATTGAATGCAGTATTCCAAAAGTGGCCTAACCAATTTCCAGTGGTTCCCAATTGGGAATGTTGGAGGAAAGGACAGAAGTCCCACAAGGAACAAGTTGCAGTTGGAAATTGGGTCTGAAATACAGGAATAGGGTGGTAGCCATTCCACCCCATTTTACCAGCTCCAACCATCTGCCTTCTCTGCAGAATCCTTAATACCCTCTTTCAACAAGCATCCCTCTAACTTAGTTTTGCAATTTCCAATTGACCCCCAGAATCAGCAGGGTTTAGGGGGTGATGAAGCGGCTTGGATCACCCATCAATAGTTTCTCAGAATCAATTTGAGGAACTCCTCTATAACGATCAGAAGTCTCCCCATTGAGAGCAAGCCTTACATTTCTAAACTCAAGGGTGTCCAAGACGCCCTCAAAAATTTAACTCCTTTATCCTGATCCATTTCGACACAGAGTGAGTGTGGAACATCTTAAGGGAGAGGCATTTGGAGTGGAAGAGCCAGGACGAAGGGTTGAACTGAGGACACTGTAATATCACCCAATCTCGATCAGGGGAGATACATTTATCTCTGTGATGTCTTGCGTTTGGAAAGGTGTTGTTCATGGTGGCCAGTAGATTGTGAGTAGGGTTTGAGCTTCTCCTGAATCCAGTTCGGTCTTGATTGAGGTAATGTTGTGTCTTGGGTGTTTGACGGTTCCACTGCTCTGACCCTACAGCAATGTGGTGGAGGACTCTGTCACCTTCTCGTTGGATCAGACTAGACTCCAGACTCCTGATACCCACCTGGAGGACAGCCAGCACCTCCTGACCCAGCCAGAGGAGAATCGGAAGAAATTGGATGAGCTGGCACCAGTTCCTGGAGATACCATCATTCCCCTGGACTTGGCAGGTACCCAAGGTGCGAAGGGGTTGGAGGGCTTTTGGGGTGGTGCAGGAAGAGGTCCTGCTCGCAAAGGGAAGGCATAAAACCAGCGAGACAGCAAGACGTGAAGGTCTTGGGTTCCCATGAGGGTCTCTCAGAATTGGGGCAGAGGCCATTCAGCCCATCGTGTCTGTACTAGCCCATCAACCAAGCATCATTACCCAGTGTCGATCTCCTGCTTTCTCCCCCTACCATCCCCAGCACCCCTTCCAAAATATATTTACATCATTCACAGGCCTTATTTAGATCGCATTGATATGACACCTTTCCTGACCTCATCCCAACCTGTTTTAGGCTGGAGTGTGTTTGAAATGCAGTCCCTGTTGTAACAGAGGGTATGTGGCAGTCAATCTGAGCATCACCAGCTAGGAGGTGAATGAGGGGACACAGTTTATAAACAAGGGGTCCCCAGTTTAGGACAGAAATGAGGAGAATCATTTTCCCCTCTGAAGGTGGCAGATCGGAGTGAGGGAGACTGGGAGATACCCCCAGAACAGATTCTCAACCAACAAGGGAGTCAGTGGTTACCATGGATAGGCCATAACTCGACCCACCATGATCCATATGGGCGGCACGGTGACTCAGAGGTTAGCAATGCTGCCTCACAGCGCCAGGGACTGGGGTTCGATTCCAGCCTCAGGCAACTGTCTGTGTGGAGTTTGCACACTCTCCCCGTGTCTGTGTGGGTTTCCTCCGGGTGCTCCAG